ATATATATATATATAACAAATAAATAACAAATATAACAAGGGCATGTTTTGGTAGTATAGATAAGTGGACGCACCTGTTTGAGGGCTGAGAGTTTTGGGGCGTGCAGAATGTCTCTAAGGTTGGAGTGCTGGCTGCTCAGCTGTTCTGTGATGTGTTTGTACTCTGGGTGTTGAGGGGTCAGCACCAGTGCTGGGTGATTACACAGCTTTCTCAGATACTGCAGAGCCTGAAACATCCAACACAAACATTACAGACTATTCGACGGAGAGGAGGATAATCTTGTGCTCTTATAAGACTTCCTGGGATCAACCTGGAAGACGTGTCCGGTGGCCTTTAATTTGGGTTTCTCTTCCTCCTCTTGCATAGACACAGTGGAAATAACGTCATCCACGTTCACCTTTGCACGAGACTTTGCAAAGTCCTCATACAGTTGAACCTGAGCAGGCACAGGTGAAAGAACAAAAGTTATATGCAACTAATAATTTACAAAAATTATAATTTTTTATAATAGAATAAGAAATTAAATTCATATTAACTGAAGGGTTTTAATGTTTTGTGATTGCTACTAAGAAAGCTAAAGTGAAATATGCACGGTTTGTAGTGGCACTGTACAGATCCCCTCTGACACGCAATGAAATCACAGAATCTTGCTGTAATCACCAGCCGCATCCATGATAAACATCCTGTGTTTGTGTTTTGTACCTGTAGAGGACTGAGGTTGCAGTAGTAATCTTGTATGATCTTGGGTGGCAGATCTTGAAGCACATCATCCTTCATTCTCCTCAGTAAGAAGGGCAGAACCTGTCTATGCAGCGCTTCCATTGCCAGCACACCTGAAAAACACATCAAAACATTTTCACAACAAAGAATCCTTCATAGTCTTATAATAGGGTACAGTCCAAGTGATTCCCTTAGTACGAAGCATAAAAGGTTGAAGAAAAGCTTCACACTGAGAAGACTGTGGTCCTACAATGAGGAGACCGAGAGATGTTTAAAAAAAAAAAAAAACCCCACAAAAAAAATTCACACACACCTGCTTCCTGTTCACGTGAGGAACTTTTAGCATCTCGACTGGCGAGGATGGGCTTCCCGTAGCGGGCAGCAAACTGACGCTCGGTGCCAAGAAAGCCTGGCATCAGGAAGTCAAAGAGAGACCACAACTCCAGAACATTGTTCTACAGAGACAGGAAAACACAAGTACAGGCATTAGCTTGTCAAATTCAAACTT